TTTTTTTTTTTTTTTTGTTGTTGTTGTTGTTGCAGTTTGGCCAGGGCTGGGTTTGAACATGCCACTCTGGGTATATGGGGGCCAGCGCCCTACTCACTGAGCCACAGGTACCGTCCTGCTCAGGGGTTTCTGATCATCCTAACAGAGTTCGGGAGAGGGAAAGGGAAGGAGGGTCACCTCCAGGGCAGGACAGGCTCCACGTGAATGGTGCTGTTTCAAACTGGAGTATTTGAGTACTTCTAGGGCCTCTCCCTTACTGTGAGTCTCTTACCTATGCTCCCTGTGGCCCACATTTATCCCAGAGTGGGGTTAGCACACAGCACCATCCCTGCCCCTTTAAAGGTATTTATTACATTTTTCGGGATGTAGAAGTCCGGAAACTGTATTTCCTAGACACTCTTAAGAACAGGGTTCTGTGTTGATTATGCCAAATGTGAGGCACCAAAGTGAGACTAGAAAGCAGAAAGATGGTTAAAAAAAAAAAAATCATCCTTTTCTTTTGACTCTGATGCTTAATGACAGCAGGATGCTCGAGGCTCTTGTGGAAATTTGGACAAAGAATTTCACAATGAAAATAAGAGAAAACATAATTGGCAGATTACAGCCCGTCGTCATTATAGGACGCCAGATTGGCAGTGGCATGGAGCCACAAGGTAGAGTACACAGCAGGGGGTTTCCTCCTTGGTGACCATCCCTGCTCAGCTAGGCATCAGCTCCTGAAGTTCTTGTCTTTAAGGGATGTCATCTAGTCCAGTAAATTATCTACCCTGATTCTTCACCCCTCCCTGTAGCTATACCTGTTGTCCTGTAGCTTTGCAGTTTCTCTCACAAAAAAGACAGAGTTTACTTCCTGCCCCTAGACTGGGAGCTTGGCCATGTGTCTTGCTTTGGCCAATGGGATATCAGGTGATGCAACATAAGCAGAGGGTAGGAATGTGTTTGCACATCGAGGCTTGCCCTTTTATGCTTCTGACTTCACCAAGACAAGAGCTTTTGGCAGGGTACAGCGGCTCATGCCTATAATCCCAGCACTTGGGAGGCTGAGGTGGGTGGATTGCCTGAGCTCACAGATTTGAGACCAGCCTGCGCAAGAGCAAGACTCCTGTCTCTAAAAAATAGCCAGGCATTGTGGTGGGCACCTGTAGTCCTAGCTACTGGGGAGGCTGAGGTAAGAGAAGTGCTTAAGCCCAAGAGTTTGAGGTTGCTGCAAGCTATGACACCATGGCATTCTACCAAGGGAGACAAACTAAGACTCTGTCTCAGAAAAAATAAATAAATAAATAAATAAAAAATAAATAAAAGAGCGTTCCCTGGTAGGTGCTGCCCCTTCAGCCTGTGCTCAGAATGAGCTGCCCTGGGTATGGAGCCCAGCCCAGCAGTCCACAGCATGAAAGTGTATAAGAAATATGTGCTCATTTCACTATGCCACTGAGATGTTATGATTATTTTTTTATGCATCATTACTGCAAAAGTTAGCTAACTGGGCCAGGCCTGTAATCTCAGGACTCTGAGAGGCTGAGGTGGGCAGATTGCTTGAGCTCAGGAGTTTGAGATCAGCTTGAGCAAGAATAAGACCCTGTTTCTAAAAAGTAGCTGGGTGTTATGGTGGGTGCCTGTAATCCCAGAGGCAAAGAGAGTCACTTGAGCCCAAGAATTTGAAGTTGCTATGAGCTATGATGCCATGGCACTCAACTCCAGGGTGACTGAGTGAGACTCTGTCTCAAAAAAAAAAAAAGAAAAAATAGTTAACTGATAAAACAACTGTGCCCACCCTACTCCCACCTTTGGCTTCACTGGCCTTCCCAAGAACTGTATCATCTAATTCTCTGTGTAAAATCACTCTTTGCTGGGGAGTCTTTTTCTGAGATAAGAATTCTGAGAAAAAAAAAAATATATATATATATATTTTTTGCTTTAGGCAGACCAGTGCTTATGTTGAGAACAACTGGAAAAGCTGAATAAAATACAGAAGATCTCTTTTTAAAAGTTGTTGGAAAGCTGCCAAGTTGACAAGCATTTGAAGGGCCATGATCTCAGAAGCAGGAAAACACAAAGAGGTGAGCTGGCACACTGAGAACCATTTTTCCCTTCAGGAAATTTGTTGATTCTAGTTAAGAGGCTGAGCATGTGGGCAGAGGGCCACAGCTAAGAGGCAGGAAAGGCAGCAGAGTCTTTGGAGGTAGAGAGAAAAGAAACTAAGGACTGAGGTTGCGAAAGCAGCAGGGACTGAAGGGGCCAAGATGTTGGCTAGAAGGGTGACGCAGAAGATTAACTCTGAGACTTTCAGGTTTCCTTGAGCGATGTATTTGCTGTATTACTCAGGTAAGCAGAAAGACTGTGAAAGACAGAAATTTTTGACAGTATCATGATACTAACAAGATAAAAATTGAAGACTTTGGTTTCCACCGAAGAAGAGAGAGAAAGTAATCACACCAGACTCTCAGCTGGAATCCTCAAGGATTTCTATACTCTAGAAATGGGGCAAACCAAAGGGAGAGGCATAACCTTACAAAACCTGCAACCCAGACTCTAGTCAGTTCAGTACCAACTGGGTCAAGGTAATCTCATCTCGCTCTGTCTACCAAAGAACATGGTAGAATATTATCTCCATAATTTCTCCTGGAGCCACTATAATTTACAATGGTTGTCAGTGAACAATAAATTATCAAGCACACCAAGAAACAGGAATTTGATGGTGGGGAAACATATCCATAGAAAAATTGAACCAATAGTGACCCAGATATCAGTGTTATCAGACCCAGACTTGACTGACACAATCAAGTCAAAGTCAATCTTTCATCAAAGAACAGGAATCTCTAAGAAAGAATGAAATAGAACCTTCGAACAGAGAAATACAATAATTAACAACTTGGCATATGGGTTAATTGCGATTAGACTTAGAAGAAGAGAGATTTACTGAACTGTAATATAGGACAGTATAAAAAGTCTAAGCTGCAGATCAGAGATAGAGAATGGAAAACACAGCAAAGAACACAAGAGACCTGTGGAGGACGGTGGACAGAACTAGCACGTGTACCTGAGTCTTAGGAGAGGAAGAGAGGAAGATTGGGGGAAAAAATAATAGTCAAAGAAATACAGGCTGAGAATTTTCCAAAATTGAAAAAGTTTTATGATTTTTCCCTAGTGCCATGCAAGATAAATAGAAAGAAAATTTCATCTGGGCAAACCATACTCAAACTGCTGAAAACCAAAGGCAAAGAAAAAATATTAAAAGCAGCCAAAGGGAGGTAGAGGAGACACATTACTTTCAAAGGAGAAATCATAGCCTGACAATCACTTGTCAGCAGAAATGGCAGGAGTGAGATAATGATGGGATGCCATTTTGAAACTGCTGGAAAAAAATAAAGTATTAACCTAGAACGTTAGATTCACAAAAGTGCCCTTTACAGGTGAATTTGAAATATATATTTCTATTCAAAAACTGGGAAAATTTGCTGCCAACAGATCTGCACTAAATGAAATCTGAGAGGGAGTTCTCAAGTAGAAGAAAACTGAGCTGAGATATAATCACAGAAATATAGTAAAGAATAAAAAGGAATAGAAAGACTGAATATGTGGGTTAATATAAATGCATATTGATGGAACATAGCAATAGCAGTAATGTGTTATTAGGTGCAAAATACATGTGGAATTAAAACGAACAATAACAACATACACACAAGAGTAGAATGAAGGTAAACAGAGATTGAGTGTTGTGAGATTGCAGAATCGTCTGGGAAGTGAATAAAAATAAAATTTGTATTAGACTATAATAAACGATGGATACAAGTTGTAATTTCTAGCAGAAGACATTAAAAGAATACTGAAAGAATGTATAAAGAGCAACTAATGAGTGGGGAGAGATGGAATTACACCACCAAGTAAATCCAAAAGAAGGCAACCAAGGAGAGAAAAAGAAACATATATTAGGTAGGACAAATGAAAATAAATGGGAAGGTGGTATATGTGAGCACAATGATAACAGCAATTACATTAAATGTAAATGCACTAAACACACAACAGACAGATGTTGGCAAACTTGATGTAAAAAA